TGTACCTCTGTATGTGTGCTCAAATTATAAATAAATAAATAAATAAATAAATAGTTTTGGTTGTTAGTGTGGTTGTTAGTGTTGGTTGTTTGTGAGGTTGTTTGTGTGGTTGTTAGTGTGGTTTTTAGTGTGGTTGTTAGTGAAGTTGTTAGTGTGGTTGTTAGTGGGTTGTTAGTGTGGTTGTTTGTGGTGGTTGTTTGTGTGGTTTTAGTGTGGTTGTTAGTGAAGCTGTTTGTGAAGTAGTTAGTGTGATTGTTAGTGTGGTTGTTAGTGTGGTTTTTGTGTGGTTGTTAGTGTGTAGTTAGTGTGGTTGTTAGTGTTGATTGTTATGTGTGCTGTTTTTGTGGTGTTAGTGTGGCTGGTTATGTGGTTGTTAGTGGGTTGTTAGTGTGGCTGTTAGTGTGGTTGTTTGTGTGGGTTGTTAGTGTGTTGTTTTGTGGCTGTTAGTGTGTTGTTAGTGTGGTTTTAGTGTGGTTGTCAGGTGGCCTGTTAGTGAGTTGTTTGTGTGTTGTTAGTGTGTTGTTAGTGGTTGTTAGTGTGGCTGTAGGGGGGGTGTTTGTGTGGGGTTTTTGTGGTTTTAGGGTGGTTGTAGGTGGTTGTTAGTGTGGTTTTTTTTGTGTGGTTGTTAGTGTGGTTTTTAGTGTGGTCTTGTTAAGTAAGTTGTTCTGGGAAGTTTGTTAGTGTGGTTGTTAGTGTGTTGTTAGTGTGGGTGTTTAGTGGTTGTTAGTGTGGTTGTTAGTGCGGTTGTTAGTGGTGTTGTTAGTGTGGCTGTTAGGTGGTTGTTTGTGTGGTTGTAGTGGTTGTTAGTGTGGTTTGTTATGGGGTTTGTGTGGGTGGGGTGTTTGGGTGGGTGGTAGGGTGGGGGTTTGTGTGGCTGTGAGTGTGGGGGTGTTAGTGTGGTTGTGTGGTTGTTAGTGTGGTTGTTTTGGTGGCTGTGTAGTGTGGTGGTTAATGTGTTGTTATAGTGGGTTGTTATGTGGTGTGTGTGTGGGTTGTTTAGTGTGGTTGTGGTGTGTGTTGTTAGTGTGGTTGTTATGTGGTTGTTAGTGTGGTTGTTAGTGTTGGTTTGTTAGTGAAGTTGTAGTGTGGTTGAGTTAGTGATGTTGTTAGTGAAGTTTTGATTAGTGTGTTGTTAGGAATTATTATGAAGTTGTTATGTGGTTGTGTAGTGAAGTTATTAGTGTGATTGTTAGTGTGGTTTTATTGCGGTTGTTTGGGGTTTGTTAGTGTGGTTGTAGTGTGGTTGTTAGTGGTGATTTGTTAGTGTGGCTGTTTGTGAAATTGGTTAGTGTGATTGATTAGTGTGGTTGTTAGTGTGGTTTGTTTGTGTGGTTTGTTAGTGTGGTTGTTAGTGTGGTTGTTAGATGTGATTGTAGTTGGTGGCCTGTTATTGTGGTTGTTAGTGTGGCTGTAGTGTGTTGTTAGTGAGTGGTGTAGTGTGGCTGTTAGTGTGGTTTGTTTGTGTGGTTGTTTGTGTGTTGGTTTGTGTGGCTGTTAATTGTGGTTTTGTTATGTGGTTGTTAGTGGTTTGTCATGTAGGGCTGTTATGTGGTTGATTGTGGTGGTTGTTAGGTGGTTGTTAGTGGTGGTTGTATAGTGTGGCTTGTTAGTGTGGTTGTTAGTGTGTTTGTTTAGTGTGGTTGGTAGTGTGGTTGTTAGTGTGGACGTGATTTGTTATGTGTTGTTTGTGTGGGTTGTTAGTGTGGTTTTTAGTGTGGTTGTTAGTGAAGTTTGTTAGTGGAAGTTGTTTTATGTGGGTTGTTAGTTTGGTTTTAGTGTGGTTTGTTTATGTGGTTGTTAGGTGGGTTGTTAGTGCGGTTGTTAGTTGGTTGTTAGTGTGCTGTTTTGTGTGGTTGTTAGTGTGGTGGTTAGTGGTTGTTATGTGTTGTTAGTGGTGTTATTGTGGTGTTAGTGTGGGTGTTAGTGGGGAGTGTTAGTGTGGCTGTTAAGAGGGTTTGTTTTTAGTGTTTTGTTTGGTGTTTAGTGTGGTTGTTTTGTGTGGCTGTTATGTGGTTGTTAGTGTGGTTTTAGGGTGGTTGTTAGTGTGGGTGTTTGTGTGGTTGTTTAGTGTGGTTGTATGTGGGTTGTTCGAAGTGGGTTGTTATGTGTGGTGTTAGTGTGGTTGTTAGTGTGGTTGTTAGTGAAGTTGGTTAGTGTGGTTGTTAGTGAAGTTGTTAGTGAAAGTTGTTAGTGTGGTTGGTAGTGAAGTTAGTGTGAAGTTGTTAGTGTGGTGTGTTAGTGAAGTTTATTAAGTGTGATTGTTAGTGTGGTTGGTTAGTGCGGTTGTTTGTGTGGTTGTTCAGTGTGTTGTTATGTGGTTTTAGTGAGATTGTTAGGGTGGCTGTTAGTGAAATTGTAGGTGTGTTTGTTAGTGTGGTTTGTTAGTTGTTGTTTTGTGTTTGGTAGTGTGGTTGTTATGTGTTGCTAGTGAGATTGTTAGTGGCGGCTGTTATGTGGTTGTTATGGTGGCTGTTAGGTGGTTGTTAGTGTTGTTAGTGTGGCTGTTAGGGGTGGTTGTTTTGTGTGGTTGTTAGTGTGGTTTTGTTGTGGTTGTTAGGTGTGGTGTGCAGTGTGGTCGTGTTGTGGTTGTTTGGTGGGGGTTGTTAGTGTGGTTGTTAGTGTGGTTGTTAGTGTGGCTGTTAGTGTGGTTGTTAGTGTGGTTGTTAGTGTGGTTGTTAGTGTGGTTGGTAGTGTGGTTGTTAGTGTGGTTGTTAGTGTGGTTGTTAGTGTGGTTGTTAGTGTGGTTGTTAGTGTGGTTGTTATTATGGTCATTAACAAGTGTCACTAACAACCTGCAGCAGTTATTATGGTCATTAACAACTGTCACTAACAACCTGCAGCAGTTATTATGGTCATTAACAACTGTCACTAACAACCTGCAGCAGTTATTATGGTCATTAACAAGTGTCACTAACAACCTGCAGCAGTTATTATGGTCATTAACAACTGTCACTAACAACCTGCAGCAGTTATTATGGTCATTAACAAGTGTCACTAACAACCTGCAGCAGTTATTATGGTCATTAACAAGTGTCACTAACAACCTGCAGCAGTTATTATGGTCATTAACAACTGTCACTAACAACCTGCAGCAGTTATTATGGTCATTAACAACTGTCACTAACAACCTGCAGCAGTTATTATGGTCATTAACAAGTGTCACTAACAACCTGCAGCAGTTATTATGGTCATTAACAAGTGTCACTAACAACCTGCAGCAGTTATTATGGTCATTAACAAGTGTCACTAACAACCTGCAGCAGTTATTATGGTCATTAACAAGTGTCACTAACAACCTGCAGCAGTTATTATGGTCATTAACAAGTGTCACTAACAACCTGCAGCAGTTATTATGGTCATTAACAAGTGTCACTAACAACCTGCAGCAGTTATATGGTCATTAACAAGTGTCACTAACAACCTGCAGCAGTTATTATGGTCATTAACAACTGTCACTAACAACCTGCAGCAGTTATTATGGTCATTAACAAGTGTCACTAAACAACCTGCAGCAGTTATTATGGTCATTAACAAGTGTCACTAACAACCTGCAGCAGTTATTATGGTCATTAACAAGTGTCACTAACAACCTGCAGCAGTTATTATGGTCATTAACAAGTGTCACTAACAACCTGCAGCAGTTATTATGGTCATTAACAAGTGTCACTAACAACCTGCAGCAGTTATTATGGTCATTAACAAGTGTCACTAACAACCTGCACCAGACAAACATTATAACACAACTGCTATAATATCTAAAATTATCTTACGTTATACACACTGTTAAAATTAGTAGATGAATGGTTCAGAGAACCGACATGTTGATAAATTAGACACATGTGTCTAATTTATCAACATGTCGGTTCTCTGAACCATTCATCTACAAACCTGTCAGACACTGCAACTTCTTGGGATCTTAATACTTAGGTATTCTTCGCTTGCCTAATTCTTGGGCACAACCTACTTCAACACTGAACAAATGTGACACGACCTATGACTGCTGCACCTCTCCTGCCATACGGTTTATAAGCTGCTTCTCCGCTCATCTGCCGTATTATACTCAAGATTGATGGACTGAACACATTGACTCAAGGTTGAGGGACTGAACACATCGACTCAAGATTGATGGACTGAACACATTGACTCAAGGTTGAGGGACTGAACACATCGACTCAAGATTGATGGACTGAACACATCGACTCAAGGTTGAGGGACTGAACACATCGACTCAAGATTGATGGACTGAACACAAACGACTCAAGGTTGAGGGACTGAACACATCGACTCAAGATTGATGGACTGAACACATCGACTCAAGGTTGAGGGACTGAACACATCGACTCAAGATTGATGGACTGAAAACATCGACTCCCAAAATTGATGGACTGAACACATCGACTCAAGGTTGAGGGACTGAACACATCGACTCAAGATTGATGGACTGAACACATCGACTCAAGATTGATGGACTGAACACATCGACTCAAGATTGATGGACTGAACACATCGACTCAAGGTTGAGGGACTGAACACATCGACTCAAGATTGATGGACTGAACACATCGACTCAAGATTGATGGACTGAACACATCGACTCAAGATTGATGGACTGAACACATCGACTCAAGATTGATGGACTGAACACATCGACTCAAGGTTGAGGGACCCGAACACATCGACTCAAGATTGATGGACTGAACTCATCGACTCAAGATTGATGGACTGAACACATCGACTCAAGGTTGATGGACTGAACACATCGACTCAAGATTGATGGACTGAACACATCGACTCAAGGTTGAGGGACTGAACACATCGACTCAAGGTTGATGGACTGAACACATCGACTCAAGGTTGAGGGACTGATTACCTCATTCTCCTCCTGTTCTTCAAGTTTCTCCTATGTATGGACTGATGAAGCCACTGTGTGGCGAAACGTTTCCTCAATAAAGATACCCAAGAGTTGCACATGTGTCTAATTTATCAACTGTTAAAATTACCTTGTATTACAGAGGTTGTTAAAGAGGAGAGGTAACAATGTACCACCTTGACTGTTATTGTTGTTAAGACTGTTATTGTTGTTAAGGGCGACTGATACCTGTCACTGTTATTGTTGTTAAGGGCGACTGATACCTGTCACTGTGTCCAGCCTAGTCCACAACAACATTTATTTATTTATTTATTTATTTATTTATTTATTTATTTATTTATTTATGTCTCTTCAGATAGTACATTGAGATTATGTATTTACAATAGTGCAACACAAAGACAGCCTCTATTATGCCTAGGTAATATGGGCAGACTTAACATTATTGGCGGACTGACTACTTAACACTATCAATCAAGTTTATTCTCTATAAGGATTACAATGCGGGGTTTACAGATTTTGAATATTGTGTGGTTTAAATGTTTTAAAATACTAATTCCAGAGGGGGCCACTAGGACACCTAGCATGGGGTGGGCACCTAGCATGGTTTGGCATTTCGGTTTTTGAAAC